GCCGGGGCCGCTCCCGCCTACGGCATCTCTGACCCCGGTTGGGTTTGGGGCTGCCGCCGCCCCAGAGGCTATAAAAACCCCACCGCCCTTCCCCTGAGGGGCCTCGGCGGTCCTGGCCGGCGGGAGGGGAACCGCCGCTTGTAAGGGGAAGGAAAGGCCCGTGCGGTGGCTCCTCTGGTGTGTAATACCGTCACGTTATCAAAGGACTGCGCCTGCTTGCACAGGCCCTCCTCTCGTTTTGTATTACAAACTGCCTTTCTTGATAACCACTATTTGGAACACTCAGTGCATAGTGTGGGCGAGAGTTGCTGGGCATGAGTTTGCTGAATCAGTGTAATTAATTTCTATGCTTAATTCAGAAACGTGTTTGCTATCATCAAGTGTCGGAGTAGGTAGGATACAGAAACTGAAGTACATTCAGGTTGTTGACAAAGGGCTTCTAGTGACATTAGTCTTTATTATACAAAAGGAACTGGGTAATGTGTTTAAATGAAATCCAGCAGTTCCAAAGTGGGGCTTCACCTGTACTGGTGCGACTGGTGTATCTATGACCTATATCACAAATAGGAGTGATAAAATTTGTCATGAATCTCATATTCCAGTGGAGTATCAGAAAGCATCTCCGTTCATACCTAGAATAAGAAGCAATAGTAGAGCATCTAGGAGAAGAACCGCATTTAAGAGCAGATAAACCTGCAGCAATCGTAAAGAAAATAACCCTACTGACCCTCTAAAATAAAGAAACCATATCAGTACTATAAAAGGCCAAAAAAAGCTGTACAGGAAGTATTTAAAATGCCACCAGGTGTCACTGTAATTCAAGAAAATGACAAGTGTTATGCTAATAGTATGTCCACTGAGGAGCTGATCTCCAAGGAGTGAGTAGTGCAGAGCATTTTGCAGGAGGCATGTGCAGCTGAAGGGATTAACTGCAGCATTAACTGCCGTCACATTTGCTGTTGGGATACTTTATTAGAAGGCAGTGGGTGATCTGAGGCATATCTGTAGTACAGCTTTGCTAAGAAACCTGCTAGGGACAAAGCTTTGCATGAGGAACTTCGAGCACCAGAAGTTTTCTATAAAAACTGAATTCTACTTTCATCGTATGAAGCAATGAAAGCCAATTTGCGGATGATGCTTTCCCTTACCAGTCACATTAGTATAAACACAGGCTTGGGCTATCCACAGATTTTCAGATCTCGTAAAGAAAACAGCTTTGCTCATTCTATAGCAAAAGGAATGTGAGTCATAAATTACGGGAGAAGTGGGTCATACACTTTCCCTCCTGCATTAGGTACACTGACATGGCTGGGAGGCTGCTGTATGTTCATTTCTCATTCTCTAATGTCTATGTTGTTTGGTTCAGCAGAATAGAGGTCAACAGAGAGCAGAATTTTCATTAAACAGACCAGAACAAGCAGTGAAATTATTTGGGCCACACATATGGCAACTACACATAAAAATTTCAGGGAAAATGTAATCAAAACTGTCTTTAGGGTAGGGTAGCGCTATGTACAGGGATCTTTCTCCACTACAGTAGCAGAAATGTTTACCTTCATTACAGGTACTGGAAAGCATCGTACTGGTCAATATAATCAACCTTTGGCACAGCTGCCACTGTATGTAGAACTGAGAAGGGTCAGAAGCGTTGATGCCAACAGTTTTAATATCAAGTGTCAGCTGAAATAGTTGCAGATCTGAGATCATAAGGAGAAAGCCATATCAGGGAAGAAGTCAGTACTAACATTAGACTCATGTTGACAAATGACTAATCGTTTAGACCTGCTGTTCTGTGTCTTTACCAGGCAATGCTGTAAAGTACATATAATGTTGCATTGAGCACTCATGATACGCTAAATAAATTAAGTACTGCCATTACAATTAACTGTTAGCATAATACTGTTACTACAAGTGGGAATTTAAGCTTTTTCCTTGTAAGATAAATACAAAGAAACCATGAATTTGAAACTAAATATGATAATAATACCTATATTAAAAGTAACACTAACTACCTGTAAGATAAACCTGATGGTTGTTCACAGAAAAAGCCAGTCTTTCTCTTAAAAAACTCTTAACATTCCCACTTCCAAGGCTAAAACAAATTCATATTGTTCTCAAGTGAACTGTTAAAATCAAAGACCATCTTTATCCTTTCTTGGTCTCCTGGCTAGTCTACACTGTGGTTGCCAATATTTATTTCCAGGTGATGGTTAATTTTAGTGGTTAAAGTAATGACAATTAAGGTGGTTCTGCTAGTTCTGATTCAGATCAGTAGTATAGGAAAATGGAAAACAAGAGTCATAAAGACATTGTAATACCATGCTTTCTAAAAGCACCGTCCTTTATGCATCTACATGCATATATTTATAATGCATAATCTGTAAAATTTGTAATAAAAAGTTACATTAACACTGTTAAACAATTTAGCATAATCTAGACATTCCCATGCATTTAAACTGTGATTTGCAATAATCACCTTTCCGCCAAGCAGCTTTGACAATGCAATGCTGACATTATTAACACTGATTAAAAAGTAACTGGTAATATGTCTGTATTAATTACATCTTCTAGTTAAATGTCTCCATTTTGCTTTAGAAGAAACCGGGCAATGGATTATTGAAATCTTGAACGGTATCAAGTAAATGCTTTACCTGATGGAGATGCTTTTCATAGAGGATGAATCAGTTACTGTGGAGATGGACTCTCTTCACATACTATGTATAGATATATTTTCAAGAAACCTGTGTGTGAAAAGAACATGGTTTGAAAGGAAAGACTGCAGCAATGAAAACTGGAAGAACAAATAGAAAAACACAACTGTGAACCTCAGAAATTACTAGCTATAGTCTAGCACAGCTTTGCAAAGTGCTGTGTAGAAGAAAACTCCTTTCTCTTCTTTTCCATGAAACCTCATTCAACCAGCAGTGTGCCTTTTTACAACATTAGATCTTGATCCTGCAGGTGCTGCGTGCACAGAGCTCTGAGGTGAAATACAGCCAGTTCCATGTCAGAAATGGCAGTCTGGTCATTCTTCCAGCTATATAGACTAATCACTATATTTTATGAAGTGTTATTCATTTTTAGCAACTCAAACCCACCTTACTTCCCTATGTTGCTCTGTGACAACTCAGCACTAAGTTGCCTCATGAGTGTTCTTAACAGTTAACAGGAGTACCATTGACAAAACCAACATCAATTCGTGAAAAGCTTTTATTACAATCTTTTGTATTACAATAGCCATAATTTTATTATTGTTTTAAAAATTAAGCACTTTGCAATTGTACCACTCTCCACTAAAACAAAATGACCTTTTGCCTAGCATGTGTGCTTTAGTGATATACTGTGTAATGTACTTTATTCTGGACAAGACAATTAATAAGGAAAGAAAACCCCTTTTCATTTACATGGATTCCATATGTTTCTTTAAAAAACATGCTTGAAAGAACTTTGAAACTGTGGACTACTATACATCCATTTATTGTATGACTATAATAAATACAGGTTTTAAAAAGTGCATTATATAGCAATAACCCTTGTGAAGAATTCATTTTTACAAAAATCCTCATTATATAAGTGCTCAGTCTGAACACAGTGCAAGCAGTCAAGTTGTCCTGAGAATTTATAAAGGTGGCATAAGTTTACCTTCAAGACAGGTGCGTATTACCACTACTTAATGGCTTTATCCCTTTTTTGTCAACTAGAATCCTTTTGATCACTACTGAATGTGACAGGAAAACGTAAGTGCAAATTTAATGTTTCAAGTGACAGGTGCCAGTACTGGTGTGAACGTTTTAACAGCTTAACCCAGAGATCACTCTCAGTTCTGTTAAAAGGTCAACTCACAGCCAGCGATGCTAGACAGCTGGTTTAGTAACAGCTACTGTCAATTCTTCTCCAGCAGTGCAAGACAAGCAAAGAGAGAAAAGGCAAACTTGGAATAATACTTTAGTATTCAAGATATTGCACATGCAAATACCCTGAGAGGTTGCGGAAGGAAGACAGTACAAGCCAAACTCACGTTGCTGAGATGTTAATTTCTCACCTCTCCCTGACACTGTGGTATACGTGACATCAACCTTAAACCTGACAGCCTCAGCTTTACATCATCTGTCCCTGCCCGCAATAACACTCAGATCTGACATTTGCTAGCACATGAGAGTCTCTCCTGGAAGATTGCAACAGCATCTTTCTGACAGTAAGCCAAGTATTGCACTGGGCTCCAGCAACATCCATTTTAAACTGGTGTCAAATACCAGTCTGAGTGGGATTTTTAACGATGTGCTGTGAGGCAATTCAGTGGTTTTGCAGATGGAATAAATACAGTAATTTAGGAGGGGGAAAAGAGGGGAGAATAATACTTTAAAATAGTGCCTTTTATTCAGCACAAGTGATTGTGTGCATATGTGTGTGTGTGTGTGTGTGTGTTCATTTTCTTCTTACTTCACTGACAAGCACATAAAACTCTGCTTCTATGGACTTTAACAATACCATATAAACTTTCATGGAATTCCTTAAATGAGCAAGTTTCACCAAAGTAAAGTTAGGCAATTTCATTTCACACCAAGAATGATTCTTCTGCGGTCACTGAAGGTGTATTTCAGCTCATCTAATTTGACATCTACAAACTCTGGCATAATTTGGCATAATCTGCACTAACGCTGAGAATTTCAGTATGGCAGAACGGCCAGAACTAGTCCTGCAGTGTTCTCTATGCACTCTGAGGAGATGATACAGTTTGTCACACCACAGGTAGTCTGCTAACTACAGCAAAAACATTCCCAGTGACTATGAAGAATACAGGTTGACTAGTTCAGATACATTAAGTCCTATATTGTCATGTCATTCAGTCATATGAAGCCCACCACAGGAGGCAAAAAACCTTACAATTAGATAGGACCCCTTCTTAAAAGAGCTCTCATTTTTTTGTGCCACATGAGGAGAACTAGACTTCCCTGCACTGATTTTTCTAGGAGACAAAAGTTGCTGCCAGATAGGTAATGGTCACTCCTCTAAACAGATACAGAAAGTTAACACGGGTGGACTGAAAGCAGGCAGCACTCTTTCCTCTCTGTGGCTGGCAATCGCACCTCAGCCTCACCTACTCCAAAACAATTTCAGCTTAAACATTCACCCTCACAGTGCTCCAGAACCAACAGAGCCAATGCTCAACAGTTTCAAATAGGATTGAGTTTTCTCAGTATTCTGCAAGAGGTGGTCAGCAACTCACAGAATTAACATGAATTTGATAGCAGGCAGCTCCTTCACTTGACATCTTAGCTTTGCTAAATGGGTGTCACAACTAAGGAGTAAGATTAAGTTCAGACATTGATTTTCTTAGGGTTTCTGCACTTCCAGAATTACTCAGTAGACTTTCTGGACTAATATATACTTGGCTGTGGGTTGCTTACAATAGTGATTTTAAAAACAACTTGTGATTTTGATGAATAAGCAGCACTCCAAAATAAGATGCCTAAGTGGCCTGATTTTCATAGTACAGTCCTAAAAAGCAACTCTTCTAATACATCCAGCCACTTCTGAAAATCTATGCTGTACATATAAAGCTAAATTTACCATGCAGTTATGAATATGTATGAAAAAACTCATGTTACCAGTAACAGTGGAAAGATCATTAGCATTCATACAGCGCTTTGAGATCTTCAACTGCAATTGCAACCCAAGTGCAAAATTGCTCTAATTTCCCTCAGTAGAAACAGGTGCACAAGGAAAGGACAACTCTTATACCCCCATCTAGAGAAAAAAACCTACTTGTGCATCACCTGAAAAATATGAGAACTTCCCCACAAAGATATCCTTTACACACACTTTGGTAACAATCATTCCTGCTGCCTACTGCAAACACTGGAGGAAGAAAAAAAAAAAGCCTTTCTTAAGGGAAACAGGGGGGGCTGATGGCACATTTTCATGTATGTTCTGCTCATAATAAAATTTGATTTTCAACCCAAATATTAATGGAAATATTTAACGTGGTTATGGTCTTAGTAATATATATATATATAAATACAAGTACTCCCTACAGTGTCTGCAATCCAAATTATGCATAAATGTAACAGTACTCAGGCTTGGTGAGATAATATAAACAAAATTAGAAACAAAACCAGTAAAGCCACACTGTCCATTTAGAAAATAAGCAGTACAAAATGGTAAAATAAATCAGACACATTTTATGCAACCTAGAACATTACTAGCAACATGAAGTGTCTCGTTTCATCCTGGTAGTCTGACAGCACCCCCTGGCACCATTCTGCAACGACTCATACACTACAGTAAGAAATCACACGGGCTTTCAGTGGATGTAACTCAATACACATTTTGGCCCTTTTTACTTTCGGAGAGGTTTTGAACAGTTTGTATGGTTCACTGGCCACTTCCCAGCCCTGGAACACTTCACCAGGTATGGCACTTTCAAAAAGGAAACTATTGCCATAGGAGCAGAGAGCCATGCCAGGGAAGAGGGTGCCACTGAGACTACTGACAAGCTGCTCTGCATGCACTTCGCTTGTTCAGATGAAGTGGATCCAGCTCTCCTCGCATTCTCTAGGCATCTTGAGGGGGTGAGTCCGGCAGGTAAGACTGTAGTTTTTGCCTCTGTTGTTATCCCAGTACTCCTGGCCGTTGACTTGGTACCTTGCTGCAAACTGGACTACAGAGCACAGCTGAAGGAGGAAGGGAGGCACAGGGAGAAAGAAGGTGAAAACATCAACCTGCTCCTGCCCGTTTTTCTCAGGGATGCTACTGTGCCAATGAGCACACACTTCATGGAGGCTTTTCCACTGGTTAAAGGTGTATCGCACAGATACATGCTTCTCAAAAGCAACATTGCGAACCTGGATGGTGCCACTGAGCCCCAAATCTGAGCTAGTCACTCGCTCAAGACACACCTGCTGCTCCTGAAGTCGGGAGGAAAAGTCCATACAGTCTGCAGGCTGCTGGAAGTCAGGGACCAAGCACTGCATAGTAAACTCCAAGTCCAAGCTGCTGTACCAGAGGTCTGAGTTTATGGAGAGCCTGGAAAGGACATGCAAGGGGATCGATGGATCCTCCCCAGTCTGGAAGACTTTCACTTCAGTGAGCTCCAAGCCCAAAGCATCAGCAAATCTCACCCGGTTCATACGACTCTGGCACCCAGGAACTTGACAGTGCACTGCTGCTTGCTTCCTTCTTTCAGACGATGTAGGCAAAGACCGTGCTCTGCGGCGTATGATAGGCCGTAATACTGGATCACAGTTGGAAGTGCTGCTCTGAAGTTTATTTGGCTGGGGATCTCCCCTGGCTGGGGTACTGCTCCGAAGAGTCATGCTGCTACTTGTATGGACTGCTGGGGGCTGCTGCTGCCCTCGTCCCCGTGCTTCTTCAGCCCGTAACATGTTCTGATAGAGATCAGAAAGGTAGCTGGGATTCCTCCGAGGACCACGTACTTCCATTCTTAACCACAGACAAAAAAATCAACCCTAACGCTGCAGACAACGATGAGCACAGCCTCTCTGATGCATGTAACTTGGGAATGGCAGTCACAGGCAGTAAGTATTTGAGGTTACTGCACTGGATGCAGCAAAAATCAACAGGAACAAGGCAGCCTTCTGAATGAAGGGCACAAACCTGGAAGCTCTCACAGAAGCTGGAAGTGAACCGGAGGCTAGTGCATTGTGTGGGGAGATGAAGGCAGTCTCAGTAGCTGGTAAACTCGAGGCTGCTGCGCTGGCTAGTGGATCCGTTGCTCAGGCTAGAAAGGGATTCAAGGCTGTCACCGTTGATGCTGGAGGACCCGAAGGTCTCCCGCAGGCTGGAGACCGACTGGAGGCTGTCGTTCTGGACACCGAAGGACTCCACGGACTCCAGGCTGTCGGAGAGGTCGCTGGATGCCGGGCGGGTGCCGTGGCGCGCCCCGAAGCCCCCTCGGCGGTCACGGCGGTCACGCAGGGCGAGGGGGGCCTGCAGGCTGTCCTCGCAGCCGCTGCCCGACCCCACGCTCCTGCAGCAGCAGCAGCAGCAGCAGGGACACTCCAGGCTGTCACACTGGATGCTGGGCGACTCACGAGGGCTGCCGAGGCTGGTGAAGGCTTGGAGGCTGTCGGGCGGGAGGGAGCCGGAGCCGAGGCCGGGGCTGCTGCCGAGGCTGGAGGGAGCGCGGGGGCTGTCGC